CCCCCCCCGCCGCCCGCACCTCCGGCGAGCAGGAAACGCGTGGCCCCGCAGAGGGTCACCAGGTGGGGGAGGCTGTGCTGGGGGAGGGGGCGGCCCCATAAGCCAGGCCTGGGTCCACCTAACCACTGCCGCAGGCGCTAGCCGTGCCCTGTGGGCCTGGCCTGCTCCCCGGATTTAGGCTGGGGATAATCTGGGACCCGGGCGCCCGCAAAATAATCGGCCTCTTTGAGGCTCCCTGGGGCTCCCGAAAGAAATCCTGTTTGGCTTCCTCTGTCTATGCAGCTCCCCTCTGAACTGAAACCACTGGTCCAAGACAACCACAATCCAGATATACTAGCAAGTCATAAAACTGAACAAAAGCCGACAAACCTTACGGCACCAGGGCTATAGGGCCCAGACAAATTACGACCGTCTAGGTAATATTTAAATAGATGCTTAAAGTAATTGCAGGGGCTCAGGCTAGTTCTCCTGTTGTAAAAGTGGTGGATGGGATAAAGTGGAAGGTAAAGATAAGAAGTCAAAAAAGAGGTAAAATTAAAAATCTTCATTCCACAGCTTTTATTCTATAAGAACATAACATCGTCTTTTTTTCCACGCACAGCAGCAATACAATATTAATTTATTCTGATTTAAGATTAGAAGTAAATAGAGCTAAAACTAACATTTATAATAATGATAGAATGCATTTGCTTAAAACAAGATTGGCAATTTTTCATAATAGACATTTGTACAGATTTGTATTTATAGTTTTTTTCTTTTTCTGCACCTACAGGTTTGACCCTTTTATGCATGTAACTTCACAGTATAAAGAAAATCCAAACAATGTCTCCCTTCACTAGTTTATTACGCTTGTCCCAGCCCTCCTAGGCTTCTGTAAATTTCAGAAAGAAAAAAAGTGAATTTTTAAAAACTCCACAAGATAGGGAGAATGGTGGTGTGCTTGTCACATGTTACCAGTGGTAACAATTTTAATGACAAAAAATCCACTAATTCCATGTGTATAAACAAAACTACATTATTTATCTACAGCCAGAAGGATACGGAAATTCAGAGGTAAATGAGACATTTTAGTCAGGCAATGCAAGACCTTACACAAACTAGAAGAGAACTTTCCTTCTCTTGGTCGTTCTTTTTTTTTCTTTTAAAGCTGGGATATCTTACAGAGGAAGGAAAAATTAATCTTTCTGACTCTTTCTTTCTCACTTTCTCAATCAGCCAAAGTCAAGCCCTCTTGCCAACCTGCATGTGCATGCCTGTAAGCCCTTCTCTTGGCCAAGGAAGAAAGGAAGAAAGAAAAAAGAAACCCAGGGGCCTGTATCCCCTGATTAAACACAGCCCAGCACTCCAGGCAGGCGTGCCCGGTGAAGGCTCCTTGCACCATTGACCTCAGGCCAGACACCTCAGCGCCGACAATGGGACCTCCGCCTTCCAGCTAGGTTTGCCCAAGGCTGGCAGGAAACCAGCACAGTGGAGGAGGACAGGGACCATTCACGCAGTGGGACCCCAAGACAGCAAACCCAGCCCAGTCACAACTTGACACTTAGGACAATATCTAACTCTATAGAATTTTAGCACGATATGGCTTTTTCCCCCAGAAAACAACAAATAAACCAGCACCAAGCAAACAAACAAAGAAACAAAAAGTCAGAACAAACCAGCCCTGCACAGATGTAACGGCCTGGGAGATGGCGAATGTGGGAGGGAGGAATGGGGCTCCAGCACAGGTGCGAGTTCCTGGGCAGAGGCTTGAAGACACAGGGAGGGGACCAGCGCTCTGGAAGCAAAAAACGTTGCCTGGAGCTTCATCAGGAAAAATTAAAGTTGGCTGTAAGCTCCCGGATCCGGTTTTCTCGGTTCATTTTCTTCAGTTTCATCCTGCGGTTCTGAAACCAGATTTTCACTTGTCTGTCCGTGAGGTGGACACTGCGGCTGATCTCTAGGCGCCGCTCTCGAGTAAGGTACATGTTGAACAGAAACTCCTTCTCCAGCTCCAGCGTCTGGTGCTTAGTGTAGGGGCAGCGCTTCTTCCGACCGCTCTTTGCCGTGAGCCAGTTGGCTGCGTTTTCGCCTTTGGAAGTGCCTGGCGTTTAAGAGAATAAAGAGGGGAAGGTTAAGTCGAGGCCATGCAGGCTGCGATCAGGGGTGAATTCCGGACTTGCTCCCATAAGAGGGATGCCCTAAGATGAGGGTATGCCCCCCTTTGGCTTGAGGAGAATAAGCAATTCCTCCAAAAGGGATGGCAAAATCGAGTGGGCCTCCAATCTACACACACCCTCCCAGTTTACACTTTTCTTCACTTTTCCCCAAGCACCTGTTTTAGCACAAAGCTGTAGGCACTTGCAGAACGAAAGGCCTGGGAGGGCAGACTGCACATCTTGAACTTAACGCCTTTCTCTGCTTCTGCCTATAGCAGACACGCATTTCCTGCAGCCCCCAGGCTGGGGGGGGGCGCCGGCTGCTTACTGGGGAGGAGTGTCCGCAGCGTGGCTGTCTCACCCCAGCTCCCTGATTGCCTAAGGCCCCGTGAGGAGAGGGAGAAGGGCATAACTGAGGCCAAGGAGGAAGGCACGAAAAACCGATTCGAGGGTCAAGAACCCTCCCTCATGTCTCTCCAGGAGCCAGGGATGTGCAACTGGATGATTCCGAGTTCCAGGGAAAGCGAAATGGCCCCCTCTCTGACTCACAGCTCAGGGCCCCGGCGTCCGGGCCGGATTTGCCTTTTCTTTTCCCCGCAACGAGCATTCCCGCCCCTCCAGCAACTTTGAAAAAAGCATGGGGGATCGTAAACTCGAACTTCGCCGGTTAATGGGCTTATTTATTGGCGCTGGCGGCTGCTTATTTTGGATGCCTTACAAACATCCGCGCTATCTGCGGGTGAGCCACTTTCCCTCCCTCCCCCTCCCCCCGCGTGGGCCGCGCCGAACAGGCTGGGCCCGGAGCAGGGCTTGGGGTGCTCCGGCCACAGGAAAGAACATGCACGCAGGAGGGGGGCTGCTCGCGGGTGTCCTCGCCCCGAGTCAGGCTGATTGGAGGCCAGCGCCAAGGACATCTTGGTGTGGGGCGCTAAGCCGGACATGAATTTTTACTGTGTCCCCACGCCCAAATATTAAAAAGCAAGTTCACAAGGTCAGCCTGCCTGCAGCTTGGGCCAAGGCCGGCCGGCTGCTGCTCGGGCTCCTGGTCCTCTGCTCCTTTCCTTCCCTGGGTCTGCCTGTCTGCCCGCCTGGCTGCAGCCCTCCGGCAGGCCGTGCTTACCCAGGGAGTCCTTCTCCGGCGAGGCTTTGCTGCTCTCGGAAGGGGCCGGGGAAAGCTCCTCCGCGGCCGAGGACGACGCGTGCGCCTCCTCGTCGCCCTGCGAGCCCCCGCCGCCGCCGCAAGCCAGCGTGGGGGGCGGCGGCGAATCGAGG